CCCATTTGACCCAGCTATTCCCCTGCTGGGTATCTTCCCAAAAGAATTAAAAGAATCATACTACATCAATATATGTGCACCCATGTTTATAGCGGCACAGTTTGTAATAGCTAAAGCTTGGAAACAGCCCAAATGCTCATCAACTGGAAACTGGATAAAGAAGATGTGGTTTTTTTACGCAGCAGGCAGCGAAACCACTGAGCTAAATCCCCGGCCCAGATGTGGTTTTTTAAAAATAAAATGGAGTACTACTCAGTCATAAAGAACAAGAAAATAGAGACATTTATAGCTAAATGGATGCATATTGAAGCCATACTCTTAAGTGAAATAATAGGGCACACGTGTAAATACCGAATAGTTTCTCTAGTATGAGAAACTGAAAGTGTAAATAAGGATTAAAATGATTAAAAGGAATAATTGATAATTTGAAAAAGGAAAAGGTCCAAAGGTTTAGTGGTGGTGGGAGGGGAAGGGGAAAGGGAAGGCAAAGGAAAAATTATGAGAAAAGAAAAAAAAATGGAAATGAAAACTATGTAGATAGGGAAGGGTGGAGGGGGTGAAGGGCTCACAGGTAATGGGGAAAAAAATAAGAACCAAGATACATCACGTACAGGTACAAGCACCCAATGATAAATGTAAACGCACTGTATACCTAAAATGTACCAATAAAAGAATTTAAAATAAATAAATAAATAAATAAATAAATTGGGCTGAGGATGTGCCTCAGCATTAGTGTTTGCCAAGCACAGATGAGCCCCTAGGTTTAATCTCAAAAGTAATAATAATTGGGCCGGGGATTTAGCTCAGTGGTTCCGCCTCCTGCCTCACAAGTGAAAGGTCCCCAGTTCGATGCCCAGTACCAAAAAAAAATAATAATAGTAATAATAATGCTAAATAAAAGAAGCCAGACAGTACCACAAGTTATACATTTTCCATGAAATTTCCAGAATGGACTAATCTACAGAAATAGAAAGATTAGTAGTTGGTGGGCTGGGGATTTAGCTCAGTGGTTCCGCCACCTGCCTCGCAACCGCAAGGACCCGAGTTCGATCCCTGGTATCAAAAAAACCTGTTGAAATTAAGACTAGTGCATCGAGGTGCTGGTCAGAAATGTCACATACTGTGTAAGTCCATTTATATGAAATGCCCCCAGAATAAGCAAATCCACAGAGACAAAAAGAAAAAAAAAAAAAAAAGATTAGTAGTTGGCTAAGGTGAGGGGAATGGAAAGATTAGGAAAGGACAGCAAAGGGAAATGGAGTCTGTTTTTGGAGTAATGAAAATATAAAATTGACTATGATGGATGTACAACTATATCCATCATACACTTTAAATGGTGAATTGTACAGTATGTGAATTATATCTCGCTAAAGCTATTTTTTAAGAAAAAGAATTTAAAAAAAAAAAAGAAAAGGAATTTGTATTTCACATGATCTTAAAAGCGTGCATGTCTGGCATAGTGCCACATGGCTGTAATCCCAGTACTTGGGAGGCTAAGGCAGGAGGATAACCATGAATTCAAGGCCATCCTTGGGTTACATAGTGAGTTCAAGGTCAGCCTAAACTACAGAGCAAAACTCTGTCTCAAAATACAGAAAAAAAAAAGCTGAGCAGAAAATCCTCAGGTAGAAGAGAGCACTTGGAATGTGTATATATATATGTATTTTCTTGGTACCGGGGATCGAACTCAGGACCTTGCGCTTGCCAGGCAGGCGGCAGTGCCACTGAGCTAAATCCCCGGCCCTCTTGGAATGTATATTTGAAGCTGAGACAATAAAATAAAAACAGCTGTGACAATGAAATAAAAAATAAGAGAAAACGGGCCAGGGATTTAGCTTGGTGGTGCTGCCACCTGCCTCCTAAGTGCAAGGTCCTGAGTTTGATCACCAGTACCAAAAAAAAAAAGAGAGAGAAATGGGGCCGGGGATTTAGCTCAGTGGTTCCACCGCCTGCCTCACAAGTGCAAGGATCTGAGTTTGATCCCCCTGTACCATAAAAAAAAAAAAAGAGAGAGAGAGAGAAATGAATAGTATGCATACTATAAAGAACTGCTTTGAAAAAAAAAGAATTGCTTTGAGGGGGCCGGGGATTTAGCTCAGTGGTTCTGCTGCCTGCCTTCCAAGCGTAAGGTCTGGAGTTCAATCCCCGGTACCAAAAAAGAATTGCTTTGAGGAAAGGGAAGAGCCAGTTTAGCTGATGAAAATCTTGAATGACTTGAGAAAGAAAGATCTGGACTATATTTTATAAGGTAAAGGGAGTGAAAGGCTTTTAAAACAATTGCAAATGATACTTTTTCTACCACTTCAAGGCTGTCATTCAATGCTATCTCCTAACTTTATAATGGTTTCCTCTTCCACTGCAAAGAGCAAAATGGGACAGAATTTATACCAATAGATGTAATACTAGCAGTTGTAATACTTACATCTGTTTCTGATGATTTCTCCCTTTCTCGAAGTGCCTGATGCCTAGAGGAACGCCTTAAAGGTATGACTATTTCTTCAGTAGCCTTTGACCTACTGATGTGTAAGGCTTTTGCTTTCTCAATCAGTTGCTTGGCTTTTGAAATATTTTTTGAAGTACTGTTTGCCTAGACAAAAATTTGAAATATTAACTTAGTTCACAGCTAGTATTTTCCATTTCATAATAAAAAGATATAATAGAAAAAAATGTAATTGCATATCATATTAAACAATCATCATAGAAATGGTTACTCAAACCTTATCAGGAATCTTAAATTAAAATGTGGGTAATGGGGGCCAGGGATTTAGCTCAGAGGTTCCACCGCCTGCCTCGCAAGTGCAAGGACCAGAGTTCGATTCCCAGTACAAAAAAAAAAAACATGTGGGTAATCATTAGTTGGCCTTCCTTATTTGCAAGTGTCCTGATAAATACAATGGTACTTTAGTTCATGAATTTAATTAACTCCACAATTCTGGAAAAGATAGCTACATTCGTGTTCATCACCCAATGCAGAGTTCACAAAAACAAATTTTTTTTTCTTTTTTGGTTTTAGTTTTTTTTTTTTTTTGGTACTGGGGATCGAACTCGGGTCCTTGCGCTTGAGCAGCAGGCAGTGGAACCACTGAGCGAAATCCCCGGCCCTTTTTTTCTTTTTTGGTACCAGGGATAGAACTTGGGACCTTGCACTTGTGAGGCAGGCAGCAGAACCACTGAGCTAAATCCCTGGGCCACGAAAACAAAATTTTGCCAAACTGCTCACAAACAAAAGCATTCATGAACTAAGGTACCACTATATATATTACATGTGTCCAAAATACCCAGAAAGATGTATGTTGTATTTTCCTACTATCTTCATGATGTTAGTTACCAAATTCAGGTAAAGTACTTTCCAAATACAATTACTCACCCTACCCTATGGAAAGCTCTGGGTTGGATGTTGTAAAGAAAAAATTAAACACAAAGACTTTGGGGGGTCGGGGATTTGGCTCAGAGGTTCCGTTGCCTGCCTCACAAGCACAAGGTCACCACAAAAAAATAAATAAAAAAAAAAAGACTTTGGCCTCAAGGACTTACTTATGATAAGGAAGAGAGTAGGAACAGACTTTGGCCTCAAAGGACTTATATATGATAGGGAAAAAAGTAAAAATAGATACGGCTGGGTGTAGTGGCACACACCTGTAATTCTAGCAGTTGGGATTAGGCAGGACAATTACCAGTGAGATCCAGGGTGGCTTAAACTGCATAATGAGTTCATGGCCAGCTTAAACTACATAGTGAGACCCCGTCTCAAAAAAAGAAAAAAAAAAGATAAAGATAGTACCATTACATAATATACATTATCACCATCTATACCACTGTGTAGATATATGCTTACACATATATATCATATGATCATATGTACATATATAGAGAAATACACACAAGGAGAACGAAACATAAGAAATAAAACACAAGGTCTCACTAAGTTGCCCAGGCTGGCCTCCAATTTGTGATTGTGATCCACCTGCCTCAGCCTCTGAGTAGTTGGCATTATAGATGTACACCACTGTCCCCATCAGTGTGAGGTTTTTTGTTTTTTTTTTAAAGAAACAGAGTATCACTTAAAGACTCCAATACTTTTTTTTTTTTTTTTGATGGTACTGGGTAGACAATTTAGGGCCTTATCACTAAGCTACATCCCCAACCCTTTTTTAAATTTTTTGAGACAGTGTCTAAGTCACTAAATTATCCAAGCTGACCTCAAACTTGAGATCCTCCTGTCTCACCATCCCAGAGTGCTAGAATTACAAGTATGTGCTACCACACCCAGCTTTTTAATTACCTTTCTAGTCTGAGAAGTAAAGTCTCCATCAGTTGCTTCAGACTTCTTAGATCTTTTCTTAGATTTTTTCTTAGATTTTCTGGGAGTGCTAATTCTGGTAAATTTCATTCTGAAAAAAGATAAGGTATTTTGAAACATTTTCATTATAATGCGAAAGAATATAGAAATGAAACATCAATGGCTCCAATTTCTGGACTTAATTACAAAATAGGAGGAAAAAATTCTCATCAGTTTGATTCTAAAGTAAGCCAAACTTAGGGCCGGGGATTTAGCTCAGTGGTGCCGTCGCCTGCCTTGCAAGCACAAGGACCTGAGTTCGATCCCGGGTACCAAAAAAAAAAAAAAAGAAGTCTGGAATAAAATGCCTAATGATGTGGCTCAAATGAATATTTTGCTGGGGATTTAGCTCAGTGGTTCTGTCACCTGCTGAGCAAGCGCAAGGACCCAAGTTCAATCCCTGGTACCAAAACAATAAATAAATAAAAATAAAGTAAGCCAAAGTTTATTGTTTACTTCCTTATTGATTTTTTTTTTTGGTACCAGGGATCGAACTTGGGTCCTTGTGCTTGCGCAGCAGGCAGTGAAACCACTGAGCTAAATCCCTGGCCCTATTCCCTTCTTTAAAAATAGTAATTGGGCCAGGGATTTAGCTCAGTGGTTCTGCCACCTGCCTTGCAAGGGCAAGGTCCTGAGTTCAATCCCTGGTACAAATAATAATAATAATAAACCTTACAGGAAAACTGGGATCATTCTTATTTTAGCCAGAACCAATATGCAAGCATATATTTCATCATATATGGGTCAGTTTACCCAAGAAATGACACTCTGGAATTCACTTTTAATTTCATATATGATAAGTGCACAATATTTATACTTGAAGGCTATTTCTCCAGGGATTATCAACTGTGATGAATAAAGAGTTTAGAACTCATCTAAAGCAAAGCTACAACTCTTCTGAAATTGTCACTGACTTTAAATATGAAAAACAAGATGGGGAGGGGACCAGGGATCGAACTTGTGCTTGCGAGGCAGACAGCAGAACCACTGAGGTAAATCCTCAGCCCCAAAACAAGATTTTTGGGGGTGCAAGGACTTTTTTTTTTTTTTTGGTACCAGGGATTGAACTCGGGACCTTGTCATTGTGAGGTAGGCGGCGGAATCACTAAGCTAAATCCCCGACTCCCAAAACAAGATTTTTGAAGGAGAAAGAAAGGGACAAGAAAAAAAGTGAAAATAGAAGAAAAAAAATGGAAACAAAGCTTTTGTACATAAGGAGGGGAAGGGGTTTGAAGGGGGGAATGGGATAAAATAAAATTTCTTAAAAAGAAAAACAAGATTTTTGAAATCCTATTCTTTTTCCTACAAATCAGCTGTGTTCTAGAAAAAATAATGCCCTCCAATGCTTTCCTTCCCAATTAATAATACATGTAGAATATTAGAATCTTAGAAGAGAAACAAAACTTTACCTAATAGGGCTCTCTGAATCAAAGGGTACTGTTATCAATTCCGCCATGTACAGGCCGTGCTTTTCTGATACAGTGGGAGTGGAAGCCTTGACTGGACTACTGTCCTGTGCATCTTCAGAATCAGTACCTCTAAAAGTCACTGCAGTAGATGTGCTGCTACATCTCACAGACCTTCTGGTGGAAACATTTACCAATCTGTCTTCAGGCTCAGCTCTAGAATGCATAAATTTATCACCTTTAACTGGCATGCTGATTTTTCTTGATGATTTATTGTTGTTACACAGAGAAGAAATTTTTAAAGGTTCATCATTTGCTTCACGAAGACTTTCGCTGCTAAGTAATGTACTGCTTTTGCAAATTTCTGAATTTTTTTGCCTTAAACTCATTCTAAGCCTATTTGGATTTTGTTTCTCTTTTAAAGAAAAAGTTGTTTTTTGCTTTTGAGTATTTTCTTCTTTGGTCTCACCTGGAGAAGTCCCAGTATCTAATGTTTTCTTACCCTTTTTCTTTACTTTTTTACTTTTCTTCTTAGAAAAACTTTTTTTATCAATGTGTGATCGTGAGCTGCCATTATTTGAAACCATTTGGATATCAGGATTCCCCATGATTTTTTTAGACTTATTATCACTTCCTTGCTCATTTAAAGATTTTTCACTGTGGTCTTTCTGCTTATCCAAAGGCTTTTTGACTCCGTTCTTAAGTACATCTGCAGCAGGCTGCCTAAATGCTTTCATAAACTGCTGTCTTTCTTCTAGGGTACATTTTGGTTTCATAGCTTCAGAACTTCCAGCTTCCAACACAGCCAATTCTAATTCTTCCTCCTCTATAACAACATTAGATTTTCTTTTCTGAGTTGTCTGTTCATTCTCAGGATCAGATAGGCTATTTTCCAGCTCAAAATGCTTTTGCTTCAAAAAAATTGAGGGTATTTGCCCTGCCTTTTTGGGGGGGATAGAATGAACTTGTGCAAGAACTGTGACTGTCTTCAAATGTACCTGCTGAGATATTTCACAGTTTTCTGATTCACTTATACAACCACTTTTGACTTCAACATTTTCAGAGGGAATGCAAATTGACATTGCAGAGTCTGGTAATTGTTCTACTTTATTTTCCTTGTGACTTTTTAAAAACTCTTCATATGAGATAGTTATTGTACCATCATTTAAATGGGCTGTTTCAGTTACATGAGCACTAGCGTTTGCATCATTTGTGGTATTCTTGAATTCATCAGTTAAGGAAGGCCTTATCTGTTTACTATCTTTACCATCTTTTTTAAGCAGATTTAGTTCTGCCATGGGTAAACATTCAGTTAGAGCTATTACATCCCTCTGTTTCCTTTTTCTCAACTTTCTGCAGTCATTTTTTGTGGTCCTTTCTTTAGGACTCACTTTCTTAGAATTTTTTTTGGAGGTCATGATATGTGACTGTTTTTTGGTATCTTGGATATTTTCTGCATGAACCTCTATATATTTCTTGTAAAGTAGAACAGAAGTACTACTTTCCACAACATCATTACTTAAACTAGAGTCATCTTTGCTATCATCACTATTAATTTCAATTGGAGATTCATTCTCAGTTTTAAGATTATTTAGTTGATGAGATAAATTAACCCTCTTTCCCTTCTTCTTAATCTCTGTATTTGAGAACAGTCCCAAAGGTTTCTTACAGTCGCTGGTACTGTTAACAGGAGACTGTACAGAAGACTTTATCTTCCCCTCTTTCGCTGATTGTACCTTCTCATTTGTGGGGGAAGTCTTTCTAAAATAATCCAAAATATTGCTGGATTTTGGTGAAGAGAAAACCCTGTCTCCAGTCTTCTCTATTGGTGATAAATATTTTGTAATTGTTTTGCAGGAAGATCTGTCATCATCTTTCCTTCGTTTTTTGCATGGCTAGCAATTTAAAAGAAAAACAAGGCATTTATTTCAAGGAAATAATATAAAATACTAATTTTAAACATAAATCTAAAATTTTAGGTAACTAGATTAAAAAAAGGGAGGTGCCTTTTGGTGAAAAACATGATATATCAGAAAGAAAATGAGGCCAAGTGTGGTAGTGCCTGTCTATAATACCAGCACTCTGGGAGGCTGAGGCAGGAGGATGGAAAGTTCAAGCCCAGCCTCGACAGCCTAGTTAGATCTTGTCTTAAAAAAAGAGCTCAGATGTAGCCCAATAAAAAGGCCATGGGTTCAGTCTCTAGTACTGCAAGCAAGCAAGCAAGCCATAAAGAAATAAAATGAGCTCTAAAGTAAAACTCAGGACTAGAAAAGCAGCTTAGTGGTAGAGCACTTTCCTAGCATGCGTGAGTTTCTGGGTTCAATCCCTAGCACTGCAAAAGAAAAATAAATGAAAGTTAAACCTACATGCAAGTTTCAAAGTCACATCAAATTTTATACTCAATATACATATATAATTTTACACTTTAATATACATATATGTACATATATATTATACTTCAACAAAAAGTTTATATTGAAATAAAACCAAGACCACTATACTTACAAGAAAATTTATTAATTTCTCTTGGCCTCTGTTTACAATCTTTGAATAGCACCACCCACTTCACAGAATTTGTAATTAAATATATAAAAGTATATAAAATTTGACACATTGTAGGAACCCTACAAATATCAATTCCAGCCCTTTTCTTTTCTTTTTTGTTGTTGTTCTGGGAATTGAACCCAGGGCCCCCTGCTTACTCTTCCACTGAGCTATATCCCCAGCCCTTTTATTTTGAGACAGAATCTTGCTAAATTGCCCAGGCTAGCCTCAAACTTGCAATCCTCCTGTTTCAGCACTTAGAGCAACTGGGATTATATGAATACACCAGTGGGCCTGATTGTTTTAAGACAGTGTCTCACTAAGTCGCCCAGGCCATAACCTTGTGATCCTCCTGCCTCAGCCACTTGAATAGGTGAGATCATAGATGCCACTGTCCTCAGCCCATTTTACCTTTCTAGTTAAAAATAAACATATTATTCTAACTATTTCTAAAAAACCAAGGGCCGGGGATTTGGCTCTGTGGTTTTGCTGCCTGCTGCGCCAAGTGCAAGGACTTGAGTTCGATCCCCGGTACCAAAAAAATAAATAAATAAAAATAAAGGACTGGGGATTTAGCTCAATGGCCTGCCTCAGAAGCACAAGGTCCCAAGCTTGATCCCCGGAACCAAAAATAAATACATAAATAAATAAATAAAAATAAAAATAAAAAACCAGACATTTAGAGAACAGTCTAGGGCCTCAAAATTTAATAGATCATGTGGCAATTATGCTAAAAGATCACCAAAATAACATTTGCCACTAAAATAGTTACTGCCTACCTCCTGAACTGGCTATTACCCTCAGTATCAAGGTGATTGTAATGCTACACAGTCATATTTTTGTTGGTCATAAATCAGTATCTTGTAGTCACCAATGATCATTGTGCCCAGGCAAGTTGAGCAGAGGCTGTAGTGAGTGAGCCCAGGTATGGCTGAGAAGGACCAGGCGAGGCAGTAGCTGCTGGGAGGAGAGCACATGGCTCAAGACAGAAAACCACGAACCAGAAACTAGAAAGAAAAACTTAAATTTTAATATAACCAGAAAAATTAACCAACTTCCTGAAGCAGAAAGGAATCTACTTGAACTCTGTTGCAATCTTCCTGCTTCGGCCTCTGAGAGTGCTGGAATTACAGGCATGTGCCACCACACCTGGCTCTTCCAGAAGATCTTGAGTGTGATACAGGCTTGTGTATACCTGTAGGTTTACCAATGGCAGTGATCCTGTTTTGTGCAGTGCATATTTCTACGTATCTTACAAAGATTTTGTAAGTTTACCTTCAAATAAAGGTGATTTAAATTGGGAAAAATGTACATTACAATCAGGATTCACTGGTCTTGTTTTTGATGGTTTGTACCATTTTCTTTCTTTTTTTTTGTACCGGGGATCAAACTCGGGACCTTGTGGTTTCGAGACAGGCAGCAGAACCACTGAGCTAAATTCCCGGCCCCTCCATCAATTTTTAACTTCTTTCAGTTCATATGTTAGAATAAATTTGCCCAGAATAATAAGGACCTTTTTGTTCTTATTGTTGTTTTTTGAGAACGGGTCTTGCTATGTAGTCCAGGCTGACCTTGAACTTACTGTGTAGCCTAGGCTGGGCTTGAACTCCCAGTGATCCTCCACTTCACACTCCTGAGTGCTAGGATTACAGGTGTATGCCTTCATGCCTGGCTCAAGGACTTTTTTTAATAAAGGGGAATGTATACTTTTAGAAAATTTAAATGTATTACAAGGCTATCATGATTGCTGGGCACAGTGGTGCACACTTGTGATCCCAGCACTCGGGAGGCTGAGGCAGAGGATCACTGAGAGTTCCAGGCCAGCCTGAACTACATAGCAAGATCCTGTCTGAAAAAAACAAAACCTTAAAAAAAATAAAAAAAAAATCACTGACAGCCATGTTGCCAATGCTCTCTGAGCAGGCTACATGGTCAAGAAATGCTAATTTAAGGTGAGGTCTATTGCTGGACAATGTTCCAGAAGCTGCATGACTGTATTTGAATAAATGTAATTTGAATTTGGACATGAAAAAATAAAGACACTCGAGCCAGGGACTCAGCTCAATGGTCCCATGCTTGCCTGGCAAGCACAAGGCCCTGAGTTCTATCCCCAGTACCAGGAAAAAAAAAAAAAGCATTATCATTCTAAGGGCTGGGGATTTAGCTCAGTGGTTCTGCCATGTGCCTCGAAAGCACAAGGTCCTGAGTTCGATCCCCAGTACCAAAAAGGGGAAAAAATAAGGTACCCCCTGAAAATAAGCCCTTTTTTGAACCAAAAATTAATATGAGATCTGGTCTTACTTTCAAGGAAATATGGTAAGTAATTCACTTGACTTAGCACATAAATATGAGTACAACAGCTATTATAAACTAAACAAGCATTGCCAAGGCCCAGAGCTGGTGGTGCATGCCGGTAATCCCAGCACTCTGGGAGGCAAAGGTAGGAGGATCACAAGTTCAAGCTTAGCCTGGGGAACTTACCAAGACCCTGTTTTTAAAATAAAAACTAAAAGGCTGGGGATGTAGCTCATTGGTTCTGCGGCCTGCCCCACAAGCACGAGGACCTGAGTTCAATCCCCTGTACAAAAGAAAAAGAAAAAAAGAAAAAACAAAAACAAGCAATTAAAAAACTAAACAAAATTAAATTAAAAGAAAAAAATTAGACAAAGTTACTTGATTCTAAAAAATAAGATAATCTGGGCCGGGGATTTAGCTCAGTGGTTCCAGCGCCTGCCTTGCAAGCACAAGGTCCCAACTTTGATCCCTGGTACCCAAAAAAACAAAACAAAAAAAATAAGATAATCTGCAGTTAAGTGGACCACGCATCTTAGCTCACTTCAAGGACACCAAGACATCAATGTGAACGCTACCTAAATTGAAAAGGTGTAAAAATACAGTACAGTATATCTTCAGGTGCTAACCCACTAAGTAGTCTATTCAAAGCACAGAATATCACAATGACTGCTTAGTCACAGAAACTTATAAATATAGGACAACATCAGCATGCCACTCTAAGACTAACTGCAGTATATTAAGCTCTGCAGGCATAAGAAATTGGATTCCTTATGAAGTAATTTGCTTGATTCGTGCAGTGACATTCTAAATAGAATTCCTAGGACAAGTAGGTGTGTGGACTAGTCGAACTTAAAGGACTTTTTCAACGCTAAAGTTCTATGATTCCGAATCAGGTACCCATAACTTTGACCCTGGGATTCTTCGTGACATGTCAGAAGCCCAAAACATCACATTCAGGATCACCAACATTTCATGTCAGAAGCCCAAAACATCCCACTCAGGATTCAACAACATTTCAGGATCTGAGTACCGTCCGTGTTTTCTTCAGTCCTGATTTACCGCGATCCCGCAAACACCTCATAATCCCAGTGTTTGTCAGGATTTAGCACGACTCTAAGAAATGACACTTTTGAGCAACTGAATCACACAATGTCGTAACTGTGCGTCCTCACCACGTCCCTCTTTTCCCTTCCCAGATACAAACTCAGGATCCCTTTCCGCCCACCCCCAAAATCTTCCAACAGACCAAGGAAGAAACCTGACAGATACTCGCCCATACCTCAATCTCATAGTCCTTCACGGGAGGGGGAGCAGCCGCCATGGCCAGGATCCCCACCATGCTCACCGCTTCCCAGAATCGCAGCTCCTAGGACCGTGCGCGGTCCAGCTCAGCCCGTCTGAAGGCCATTGAGGCGGCCCGCTCCTTGCAGGAGGCCACCGGCTCCGGCTTAGGCTCCCCCGCGCCCACCGGAGCGAAATGAGAACCGACGCTGGGCCCAGCTCTGCTGGGCCAAACGCGGAAAAAGGCAGGGAGAGAGCGCGGGCAGCGAGGCACCTGGGAGGCGGCCGGCGAATACAGTGTCCCCGAGGCAGGAGCTCCAGGCTGAGTGCTCAGGACTAGGGCCGGGGCGGGGAGAGCAGACAGAACACAGACTGGACCGCGGTTCTTCGGCGGGAGTTCTTGTCAATTGGGTTTTCGCGCCGTCCTGCTCTCAGAGGGCGGAGCTTACGGCAGCTTTGTGGAGGCTGCGCGGACGGTGAGTCCGGAGGGCCAAAATACGTCCTTTGGAGAAATCTAAGAGGCGAGACTAATTGCATCACAGAATTTTAAAACAGCCGGGAATCTGGAGATTCAAACTTCTGTCCCATAGCCTGTTTTAGCGTGAGGTTATGATTTGACTAAGGCCACTTAGTGAAAGAACGTCAAACTTGGGTCTTTTCTTTCTTCTCCCCAGCTGTAGCCATTATTACCAACGTTTTCTTTCTTTCGTTTTGTTTTCTTTTTTGGTACGGGGATCGAACTCAGGACCTTGAGCTTGAGAGGCAGGCGGAGGAACCACTGAGCTAAGTCCCCGGCCCTTTTTTTTTTTTTTTTTGACAGAGTCTTGTTTTATACCCTAGGCTGACCTGGATTTCATGATTCTTCTGCCTCAGCGTCCTGAGTGCTAGGATTACAGGCACGAGCCATCATGCCTTGCTCTATTGCTAAGACTTTTTTTAAAAAAAACTTCTAGGGCCAGGGATTTGATCCCCGGTACGGAAAAAAAAGAAAAAGAAAAGACTTTTATGTATCCATGGAAAAAAATCTTTATTTGTTTTTATTTACATCAATGGTAACACTAAATATCTCTTAGCAATTTGATACGTGTGTGTGTGTGTGTGTGTATGTTCCACAAATACTTATAGAATGACTGGGGTATGAAAGAGAGATGGCACCAAGCAGAAAACAAATCCCGGGGTGTGGGTGGGAGACAGACAGTTCCCTGTATGTTGTGTATGCGGGGTGGGTGGTGACTGTCAGTATGGATCCCATGCCTACCCTTGCGCACTGAGCTTACAAGCATTGTCCCACTTAACCCTCAACAGCCCCGTGAAATAGCTTTGATTATATCCAGTTTACGGGTCACAAATCTGAGGCTTCAAAAGATGAAGTCATGTGTGGATCACCCCTAAAAAGCTAAAACAGTGGAAGCGGAATTTGAACCTGACAGGAATCCAGAGTTTGTGCACTTAACCACTCTGCTTCTTGGAGGTTGCTGTCTTCTCCACATTCTGCGATCCCTGCAGCCTTGGGTTATTTTCCTACCTGAGCATCTTGGCTTGCGGGCTTCGGATACGACCACTGGCGCCCCCTGTCCCCTCCCCGCTCTTCCTTCTCCCCGGGTCTGGGCCCCTCGGCGGGAGTGCACGAGCACCCACGGAGCGCGCTGCATCCAAAGTCCTAATCTGCAGCCTGGAAAACTCAGGGGCCCAGGACCCCAAGCAGCTCCGGCTGCAGGGATCCCACGCCCGGGGACTCAGCCGAGGAAGCGAGCTCTAGCGACGCCCGCTCGGCGCGTGCATCCCACAACCAGCAACCAACAATCAGCAACCAGCAGGAGTTAGGCGGATGCGGGCCGGACCATGCACGCCGCGGAGTAGGGTAGGACGCCGGGTCTCCGAAGCCGCGAGTCCTGCAAAGCTTTGCCAAGGGCCTCTAGCGCCAGTCCAATTTGATACTTTTTTACTCAATATTGTTTTCAAGAGCAATTCATTATATATGTAGATATTATTCATTCCCTTTCCTCAGCATTCCATCCAAGTATGCACATTTATTTACCCATTTCCTTAGTGATTAACATTTAGATTGTCTCCCAATTTTCTACTACTTACTGAGTAGACAGTGAACAGTCTAGTCTATGTCTCCTTGAACACATGTAATGTTTCTCTAGGATACACAAGGAAAGATCGCAGGGCTATTGGATATGTCTGTAGTGGTTTTTATTCTTTTGAATTCAAAGCATTTAAACTGCATTGAGTTAAGCATTTACACTGAATTTATTTTTAGTTTTTGGGTTTTTTTTCTGTTGATGTTGTTAGTTTTGTCTTTGTTTTTTGAGATAGAGTCTTGCTATGTAGTTCATGCTGGCCTTAAGCCCACGATACAGCCCAGGCTGGCCTTGAACTCATGGCAATCGTCCTGCCTCAATCTCCTAAGTGGTGGAATTACAAGGATGGAATTACAAGTGATGGAATTACAACCAGTCCTGGCTTTATTTTTAGATATATACTGTTTTATATAACTCTTATTTAGGAGCAGATGGCATTTGTTGTTATTTTTCTTTCAAGACAGAGTCTCATTATGTGGTTCAGGCTGGCCTTGAACTCTATGTAGCCCAGGCTAGCCTCCAACTCGCAGCGATGCTCCTATGCTCCTGTCTCCGTCTCGAGAGTGTTGGGATTACAGGCATGCACCACTATGCCTGGCCATTTGTCAATTTTGAATTAAATGAATTCTCACATTTGTAAAGTAATTCACAGTTTATAGTGTGTCCATGTCATTTTAGATTATCTTCCCCCTCTGGCTAACCACAATTTTTTTTTTTTTTTGGCACCAGGGATTGAACTCGGGTCCTTCTGCTTGCGAGGCAGGTGGTGGCACCACTGAGCTAAATCCCCGGACCCAGAGGTAACCACAATTTTTTTTTCCTTTCTTTTACTTCTCAGTAGCTTCATTCAACAAGTTCCAAGGCAGGACCCCAAGCTGACTCATACTTTTACAAATTATTATTTTTAGTTATTATGTTTATCAAAGTAATGCCTATACTTAGAAATGTCAGAGAACATAAAAAACTTATTATGAAAAACAACTGGGGGGGTGCACTGGGGATTTAGCTCAGTGGTTCTGGCGCCTGCTGTGTAAGCACAAAGTTCTGAGTTCGATCCCCGGTACCAAAAAAAGAAGAACGAAAGAAAACAACTGGGGGGGCCAGGAATTTAGCTCAGTGGTGCCACCACCTGCCTTGCGAGCTCTCGAGCGTGAGATCCTAGGTTCAATCCCAGCACCAAAAAAATAAATAAATAAATAATTTAAAAATTTTAAGAAACAACTAGGGGCTGGGGATTTAGCTCAGTGGCGATGTCCCTGCCTTGCAAGTACAAGGTCCTGAGTTCCATCCCTGGTACTGGAAAAAAAACCAAACTGATTTTTGTTTTATACTCCAGGTCTACAATCTAGAAGCAGCTATTTGCAAACCTCTTCCAGCATTTAAGTATCTCCTTATTTGTAAACACCATAATATGCTTGTATAGCTATTTTTAGATTTAATAATTTTAAACATTATTCATTAAAAGCCCTATTGTGGCAGTTAATGATTTAACTTTCTTATAATAGCACCTTCTATACTTCTCCTCCAAACCTATACTAATCACTTTTTCATTGCTGGGACAAAATACCTGATATATACAACTTAAATAAGAAAACTTTAATTTTGGCTTACAGTTTCAGAGGTTTCAGTCCATGGTGGGCTGGTGGAAATATCATGGCAGAAGGGCACAGAGGAGCAAAGCTGTCCCCTTCATGGTGGCAGGAAGCAGCTACAGGGAAAGAGCTCCAGAGGAAAGGACCAGGGACTAGGTATGGTCCCAAAGGTGGCCCCCACATGACCCACCCAGACACACCCAAACACACCCAGAAGTCTGCTTTCCTAGGCATCTCTAAAGCTATTATGTTGACAATCAGTATCAACCATCACAAGTCTAACCCTCATCAACTTGACACTCAGACATATCTGACTCCTTAAACCATATTTAATCTCAAAATAGACACAATAACAAAGTCATAATTCTTCCTGACATATGTAGCTATACTGCATACAAATGAAAATGCCATGATTCCTTCCCCTGAGTCCCAGCATTGCTGAAAAGTCCAAGTCCAAAGTCTCAAACTCTTAGCTACTAACCCTTATAAATTTTATTTGTTTGTTTGAGACAGGGTCTTGCTATGTAATTCTGGCTGGCCTTGAACTCACTATGTACCCCATGCTGGCCTCAAACTCCCAGCGATCCTCCCACCTCAGCCGCTCATATGTTGGGATTACACATGGGTGTCCACAACCATACCTGGCTACCCCTATAAAAATTTAAAAACTAGGGCTGGGGTTTTAGCTCAGTGGTTCCGCCACCTGCCTTGCAAGCGCAAGGACCCAAGTTCAATCCCCACTACCAAAAAAAAAAAAATTTAAAAAACTAGTTATGTGCTCCCAAGATATAATGGCAAATTCCCTACGATGAATGTTATCATCATGTATATCTAAAATGTACCAATAGATGTTTTGCTTAAAAAAAAAAAGAAAATACAATGGCATAGCCAGGTGTGGTGGTGCACACCTGTAATCCCAGTACTTGGGAGGCTGAGGCAAGAGGATCACCTCGAGTTGGAGGCCAGCCTGGACTATGTATTGAGTTCAAAGTCAGCCTGAACTAAAGAGATCCTGTCTCAAAAACAACAACAACAACAACAAAAACAATGATGCAGGGTAAATATTCCTGCTCCAAAAGGGAGAAAAAAGGAAACAGAAAGGGATCTGACCAAAGCAAGACTGAAGCCCAGCAGGGCAAATATTAAATCCTTCAGCTAATGACCAGTATCTGGGGCATGAAGTGGCATGACATGAGCTCCGGGCGGGGGGGGCAGCCTGCCCCATGGCCTTGCCAGTTACAGCCTCCATTGTCGCTTTACTGGGCCAGCTGTGATCTCTGCCTGTAGCTTTCCTCAACAGATGCCCCACATATGAGGCATCTCCGAATTCCTGGAGTCTCCATTGCAGCTTTGGCCTCACTCCCAGCTTCCTGCATCACCCTCTCAGGGGCTCCTGACAAGGATTTCAAACTTGTCACACACTGCCTGGTCTCCCAGGCCTTCCTCTGAAATCATCTTTTTTTTTTTTTTTTTAAACAGAATTTGTTTTGTTTTGTTTTGGTACTGGGGATCAAACTCTGGTCCTTGGGCTTGCGAAGCAGGCGGCAAAACCACTGAGCTAAATCCCCAGCCCCTCTGAAATCATCTTTAAACTCAGTCCCCCTCACAGTCTCAGAATATGGACAAAATGATGACAAGTTCTTTGCCAGAATGTAACATGCACAGCCTCTAGTCTAATTCCAGTAGAATCCTTGTTCCCATCAGAAAGCTCCTGAGCAATTCCTAGCAGCATTCTGATCTGAGATCCCACAAGAATCACCCATCAAACAAAGCTTACAGCATTCAAGACTTTCTCCAGCCTGTTTCTCCAAACTTTTCCAAAGTCTTCCTTCAAACCAGTTCAAAAGGGTTGTGAACCAGATGATCAGATATAGTCACTGCATTTCCCATACTCCCAGTACCTATTTTCTGTATTAGTCTCTTTTGCATTAGTGGGACAAAATACCTAACATACAGATCTTAAGGAAGAATATGTTTATTTTTGCTCA